TATATATATATATATATATTTTTTTTTTTCATTTATTCTTAAATATCATTTCTTTTTTTTTTGTTCCTTAAAATATTCGAGATTGATAAAAATATTCTAATTTGTTAAGAAATACTTATTTTACGTTCGTTCTGTGCAGTATTTTCTTTTTTCTTTTTTGGGTGATCGAAATTTTTATCTGCGTCTCTCTCTCTCTCTCTCACTTTCGTTTTTATTTTTTCATCGTAGGATAATTCTCGTGACGATTCTCATAATCATTTTATTAATCAAATTATCTCTCTGTGTGTATATCGAATATTTTTTATAATAATAAAATAACAAAAAGGAAAAAAGAGTTTAAATAAATATAATAAAATTTTATAAAAGGACGACAATAATAATAATAATAATAATAATAATAATAATAATAATAATAAAATCTATCCTTTCGTATGTGAAATCAAATCAGAATTATTCCGATGAACAAAACGATAATTGGCGTAACTTTAATATATTAATACAAATTTTGAAAATAACAAAATATGAACAATTGTTTATAAATCTTGAAAAAGAATAATTTAAAAACCCATACGAACGTACACTAAAAAAAACTGCAATCAAATCCAACATTGCAGATGCATATCTGCTAAAAAAGGAAAACAATATTGGTCAAATTATTTTTTAACCTTTAGAAAAAATACACACAGATACAAACACACACAATCCTTATTAACGTGAATCAAAGTACCAACATAACTATATAAAAAAAAAAAAACATTTATCGCAATCAACAATAGATTGTAGTCATAAAAACGATTAATTGATGATCATAAGTGAAAGAAAAAAAAGGCTTATGGTTAATATCATGGGGGTAGGGGTGCGACAATGGAAAATCTATATACATATATACATATATATAAGCGTGGCAAGGATACAAAGGACTATGGACGCGTGCCGGCATTTAGACATAGGTGGAAAGGTTGTAGTAGGGGGGAACTTGCCCTTCCTTCCGCGATTATTGAGTAAATTAACGTCATAGTAATTGCGTTACCGACGCGTGTCCATCCCTGTTGCTTTCTCTCTTCCTCTCTCTCTCTCTCTATATATTTCTCTTTCTCTTTCCCACACATTGATAGGATCCCTAGACGATGCACAATCCCTCCTGTTGTGTCCCTCTGTCCATTCCCACCTTGGTTACGTGTAGTGGCCCAAAACCAACTTTCCATTGGTTCGAATTATCTACCATAACGTTCACTCTTTTTATTAGATAGTTTATTTAATAGTAGATTATATATATATAGTATATATATAATACTATTTATAAT